ACCTGGCCTAAACTTTTTTTCTAAAAGTATTAAACTTGGGTCTGGACATGTGGTTCAGTGTAGAAAAGAGAGCTTGTCTAGCATTCACAACAAGGCTGGGTTTGACCCCCAGTAACACACACACACAGGAAAAAACAAAACAAAACTCCAATTCCAAGAGATCTGATACTTGCTTCTAACCTCTGTAGGTACTCAGCATGCACAGTACATATACATATATGCAAAACATTTATACACAATAAATAAATAAATAAATCTTTTTTTAAAAAAATGAAGACAGGTATTAAAACAAATACTAGAACACACATGCTCACCAGGCATTGCTCGAAGCAGCCAGGAGATTAAAAAAAATGTCATCAAGCAAGGCATAATGGCACACACTTTTAATCCCAGCAGTTGGAGGCAGGAGCAGGCAGATCTCTGTGTGAGTATGAGGCCAGCCTGGTCTACATTGAGAGTTCCAACCAGAGTTACACAGCAAAACTGTCTCAAAAGGAAAAAAAAGAAAAAGAAAAAGAAGAAAGGAAGGAAGGAAGGAAGGAAGGAAGGAAGGAAGGAAGGAAGGAAGGAAGGAAGGAAAGAAAGAGCAAAAAGGATACACAAATAAAATGTGGCCTACCCATCTACTAAACAGCCATGAATATGGCTGAAACCGGAAAGTATCATGTTAAGCAAAAACGGCTAGACATACTAAGCTATATGATACATGATCCCACTCACATGAACTACCCAGTTTGAAAATCTACAGTGACAGTAAGCAGATTGGTTAGTAGGTGCCAGGAACTGAGCAGAGTGGAGAATAGGGGTGTAGCAGACTGCTTACTAAAGACAAAGTTAACTTTAGGAATGATAAAAATGTCATGTAACTAGAGAGTGGGTGACCACTACATAATACCATCTATGTATAAAATGTCATGCATGGTAAATTTTATGCTACCATAATAAATTATGTACTACAAGCATATAGGCGAAAATAAAATATAATCTATATTAGCAAGGTTTCTTTTGCAATTGAAAAGCCATTATTATTGTCTCTGTGTATGTACACACATGTACACATGCACCACGTACAAGTATAGAAGTCAGAGGACTACTTTGGGGGATCACCTCTTCCTTCCACCTTCACATGGGTTCTGGGGATTGAAATCAGGTTACCGGGTTTAGGCAGCAATGTCTTCAGCTGCTGAGCCATCACACTAATCTTAGAAAACCTTCTTAAAAGGGAAGAGCCTCAGTTATTCTAAGAGCGATAGCCTTCCTAACGTGTCTTTGCACTTTCTTCGCACCACTTCTCTAATGCAGCACGCCGACATCAGGAGGTCATTAGGCAACAAGAACAAGATGCTCATGATGACAACCGTGATGAGACCACGGGGCTGACTGCCTAGACCAGCAGCTCCCAAAGCAAGGACACCAGCAACCACTCGGAGTCTCTCACGGAGTCTAAGGCCTCCCTTCACCTCCATCTCAGTGCAAGGCCTGCTTTCCTTTCTACACATTTTACTGGGGTATACCAGTAATAGAATGAAAAGTAGGTATGAGAATCCAACTGTCTCCTCTTTAAATCACACATCAAAGGACACTTTCAAAAACTCAGTACCACTTTTTTCACCTAAGATGTTTTGGAATTTTTAATAAATCATGCCATTTATGTAGCTTTAGCTGGCCTAGACTTTGGGATCAAAAGAAGACCAGGCTGCTTTAAAACTCACAGAGATCTGCCGGCCTTTGTCTCTCAAGTACTGGAATTAAAGCCATGTACCACCACACTTGGCCCATAATAGGCTTTTGTTTGTTTTTAGAGACAGGGTCTCACAGTCTAGCCTAAAGCTTACTGTGTATCCCAGGCTGGTATTGAATTTGCAGTCCTTCTGTCTCTGCTTCCCATGTACTGTTACTATAGTCAGGCACTACCACAGTCTACTTGCAAGAGCTTTATTACTTTTAGTTTTAAGTAAGGAAATACCTTTTAAACTTCTCAGCTTTATTGTTATATAGGAAACAGTGAGCAAGAATCTAAACTCAATATGTAAACCATATTTAAAAAAATAAAAAAATAAAAAGGTCTCTGGGATCCTGAAAGCAACCCTGAGATCCTGAGGCCAGAGGGTTTGAGAACAACTGCCCTAGAAATTGTATCATGCTAGTATTGGATGCTATATCAGAATAAAGAGAAGAGTATTTTTTTTTCAGATTTATTTATATTTCTCCAATTAGCGCACAATTCTAGAACTAAAAAGAAAGAGTAAATGTGCATTCGAAGATGCCAGGGGCTGCATGGTGGTGGAGAGCTTGCCTGGCATGCACGAGGCTTGCCTAGCATGATCACACATGGGTTTGATCCCCAGTGCTGCATAATAAAAAATAAAATAAAAAACAGAGAGAGAGAGAGAGAGAGAGAGAGAGAGAGAGAGAGAGAGAGAGAGAGAGGACCACCACCACCACCAAAACCAAGGATATCCACCTTATCTCTTCACTCACTCAGGGAGCACCCCCTGAGCACAGGATGCTCCTGCAGGAGTTGCTGGTGCCTCAAAGAATAAGAGAGGTGGCCAGCACCAACATTTGCAGGATCAGACTAGGAGCCAATCTCAGCTGCCCCAGGTCCCATGTCCTTCAAACTAGCTGAAGAGCTGAACGAAGTAAAGGCGGTGGCGAGAGGGACCAGTCCCCATTTCCTCTGGGTTTCTGCTTAGAGAAACTCTGAAAGATTCATGTTTTACAGACACACCAGCCGAGCTCCAGGAAGAACTGTCCACAGAGAGAAAAGCAACTAAAAGCCACTAGGTACATATTCTTAGTCACATCCCCTCCACTAAAAATAGAGTTTCCCAGATAATTCCATCCCACTGTTTGAGGAAATATATGAGCTGACATCCAGGAAAGAAGAGACAAACAGCTCACAGACACAATGCAGGCAGAGCCGAGAACGCAGGGTGTGCCCTCGAGTCCTGGGGTCTGCCTCCCTCCCTCCCAGCTCACTGTGTCCCTGAGTGGCCCACTCCTGCCTCAGCCTCCCTACCTAAGGCAGCAGCACAGCACTAAATGACCTTTACATGACTAGGACATTATGTGCTCCATAAAGACTTTTTAAAGACAGATTTATTTATTTATTTTATACATGAGCAGTCTATCTGCATGTACACCTTCGTGCCAGAAGAGGGCATCAGATCCCATTACAGATGGTTGTGAGCCACCACGTGGTTGATGGGGATTGAACACAGGACCTTTAGGAGAGCAGACAGTGCTCTTAACCACTGAGACATCTCTCTAGCCCCAAGATCTTTTTTTTTTTTTTAAACCCCAAATGGCTTATATAGTATGACAAAAATATTTGTTGCAAACTCCTGAACCTGCAGTCTCTTCTAATTCAAACATTCTAGGATGTTCTGTGATAGGCCATGTCACGGACTAAAAAAGAAAAGTTTTAGGATAGCATCCAGAAAATCTGAGGTACGTACTGTTTATAGATATGCAGAGGTGCCGAGCTGCCCATCTGCCAGCTTAACCCGTGTCTAACACTGACATCAAACTGCAAACAGGTACTACCCGTAGATCTAGGTCACTGGAAACCACGGGGACTGTAAATATACTCAAAACCAATTGGATCTTAGTGGGTATCTTCACTAGGGAGTCTAAGGAAGGGTAACTTGGCATTACTTACCCCCAAAGCAACCGGATCTTCTTGGTGAGCTGCTGTATTTGATGATCTGTAGTTCATTCAGCCTTCAGAAACAAGTCCGACAGCCACTTCCTAATCTCTGTAATTAACGAAAGGACGCTTAAGTTAATCTCCCCTCTGTCTAAGCATATGTTTGTACCAGAGAGATTTACAAGTGTAAACAGGAGCCTTGTTTAATGGAAAAGATTATTAGTGTAGTTTTTCCTCATTAAGAAATAGCACACAAATTTCCAAGAGTATATAAACATCACACTTCTATTAATAGAGCAGAGTACAGTGTGACATTAACTACGCATCTATTTGGCTTTTGTTTATTTGTTTTGAGATAGAGTCTCATGTAGCCTAGCCTGGCCTCAAACTCACAATATAGCCAAGGATGACCTCCAACTTCTGGTTCTCCTGCCCTTACCCTCTGGGTGCTAAGATAACAGGCACACACTTGCCCCTGAGCATGGCTTCTCAATGCTGGGGATAGAACCCAGAGCCTCATACACGCCAGGCAAGCACTCTGCCAACCAAGGCACTACCATCCCAGCCACTATGCATCTGCGTTTAAATGTGCAACGTACAAACAGTCAATTATATCATTAAGCTCACAGTATAGTCCTTCTGTCCATCAAACAGCTGGTGCACACCTCTAATCCCAGCGCTTGGGAGGCAGAGGCAGGCAGATCTTGGAGTTCTTAGCACCAGCCTGGTCTATAGGGTGAGTTCCAAGACAGCCAGGGCTACACAGTGAAACTCTGTCTCAGAAAAACAAAATAAAACAAAAAAAATCAAGCAACAAAAAACTTGGCAGCCCCTTTGAGTTTGAGCCTATTTCTTCTCTGTTTTAAAGGATTCAAATACTTTTTACTAATTGTCAGTCTAATGATTCTGAGTTTGTACTAAGTGTAGTATAGATCAGTCAAGTGCACTCATATTTGATTACCTGAACTAGACTGGACTGGGCCTGGAGTACAGTTACGTACTTGTTCTTAGATAAGTTCTTGAATTTCTGTGGATTTGCACTTCCTACATGCAAAATGAGACAGGAATTCTATTATTGGCTCTTTGAAAGCTAAAAAATAGCACTTGCCACATATCCTAAAGGTCTCTAGGTGCTCTGCATTTCTTTAGTCACTTACTGTATTCCACAAGCCCCCAAGAGAGCTCAGAGCCATTTTGCAGATGAGAAGAGAGAGGCTCAAACAATTTACTCATGTATATCATAAACAAGTGGCAGTGCTGAAACCTGAATCCAGCAGGTACTTCAGAGGCCCTGCTCATGACCAGAATACTGTGCTGTATCTTGTAAAAGCTAGTGTCTGGTGCTTGCTTTGGCATCACATATTGGAACAATAAAAGACTGGAAAGATACAGAGAAGATTAGCATGGTCCCTGCACAAGGATGACACTCAAATTAGTGAAACAGTCCATATTTTAAACACTCATACAATTAAAAAATAAAAAAAGCTAGTGCCTGAAGACAGACAGCATAACTAACCTACTGTTATACCAGACTAACCTACTGTTTATACCGTAAACATAACAAAGGCCTTGAGAGGAAGGATAATGTCTTGCTCATTTCTATATCTGTACTTCCAGCCTGGTCCGGGAGAATGGACTTGAGGTATTTATCTGCTGAATGAGAGGGCAACAAATTAAATTAAAGAGTAAGATTAGCCAGGAGCTCTTTAAAGGGTACAACATAATGCTGGTTTTTGACTGTCTGGTTTTTAGGACAAAATCTTTTTTCTGTATAGCCCAAGCTGGTCTCCAACTCAAAATCCTCTACTTCACAGGCTCATGTGACAGGACCTCAAAAATAATGGTCTATTTAAACTCCCTAACGAGACCATCCAAAAAATATCTCTGAAGGCGCATCACCCTGCTTCAACTCACAAAGGCTGGAAGGACTTGGAAAGGTCCTTAAAGGTCATCATGGCTCTGGACGCTCCTGTGGGCTTCTGGGGGAAAGCAGCTCTACATCTGAAACCCAGACCTGTCTCTGTCCGAATCTGCTTTCCAAAGGCCTAAGGGTCACATTAAAGAAAGCTCAGAAAATTCTCTTTCAGTTATGTAGTACAAAATTCCTTTATAGCCTTTGATACAACTGAGATCTATAGAGTTAACTTGCTGTCAAAGGGGCAGAGCTGAGTGAGTGGAATCTTATTTCCCTAGACTTTCCTAATCCTGTTTGCAGAGACAAACACGCACGCACGCGCGCACGCGCATGTGTGTACACACACACACAACACACAACGCACACAAAGATCCAAAACAAAAAACCTCTCACATGACCCCAGTGACTTGAAATGTCTTATACAAACATATAGAGTCTGACACAGGGGTACCTTAACCCAAATATCGAAGATGACATGATGCTGTAAAATTTACTACTAGCAGGGCAGTGGTGGCACACGCCTTTAATCCTAGCACTTGGGAGGCAGAGGCAGGTGGATTTCTGAGTTTGAGGCCAGCCTGGTCTACAGAGTGAGTTCCAGGACAGCCAGGGCTACACAGAGAAACCCTGTCTTGAAAAACTTTAAAAAAAATTACTACACAAGGTAGTGAGATGCTCTCTTACCTCTTTACCACACAAGACTGAGCAAGTTCCCTGTGACTTGTTATATAAAAGAACTATTACCACTCAGGGGTTTATTTTGAGAATGTGCCCACTAGGCCTATCTCTTCTTGCAATATATTCTCTTTAGTAAATCTTCTATGTTTGTTCTGGTCTAACAAGTACGATCACTGAGACTTTTAACATGATACTATTTGTGTAAATGATTTTTTTTTTTTTTGAGACAGGGTTTCACTTACTGAGTAGCCCTGGCTACTAATTCACTCTGTAGACCAAGCAGGCTGTCCTCGAACTCAGAGATCTGCCTGCCTCTACCTCCTGAGTGCTGGGATTAAAGGCATGCACTACCACTGCTCAAATGGTATAAGTGATTTTTTTTAATTCACGTTCTCTTCCCAAATCTCACACATGTGTATCTAGCCTATACTCTCTGAGACCAAGACATCTACACCAGTGTTCAAAGATTAACAAACTACACGCAGAAGCTTATAGGAGGTGGACTGGTTTGACTCTAATGATAATGTAAAGGAAAAGGTTGAGATAGTAAGAGGATTTACAGACACCCAGTCTCACTGAGGGTCGGTGCTAGATCAGAACCCCCAAGGCTGAGGACCAACAGTGTGCTGTTTTTTTGTTGTTGTTTTGTTTGTTTTCTTGCTGCCCTTCAGATTATAAATGCTCCTACCCCTGTCCATTATCTGAGCTGTTAAGGCTTAGTTTTGTTGTGTATGTGCCCGGGGAGGATTACGCCAAGATGGAAGCACGTGACGCCAGGTCCAACACATACCCTCCCCGACCTCCTCCTCGCTTAGGGTGGCTACCGCGCCGGGGACAGTGCGAGGACTCCCACCTCCCCGATGCTCCCGTCTCCCACTCCGGGCTCCATACCCACCGGCGGGCTGGCACAGAGGCCCGCAAGCACGGGTAGCTGGCATCCGCAGCTTCCACAGGTTCCCGCGCCTCCGCCCCTAGCAACCAGGCGCGCGTCGCTAGGGTGGGAGTTCCACCTAAATGCTCCGGGGAGGCCACAGCAACCCCGGAACTCAGGTTCCACGTGCCGGAAGTCCCTCAGGGGCTGAGCGGAGAGAGCCTATTTTCCTTTTCTAATTTAATGATATATGAATAGTCTATGCAGAGGAGGCTTGTGCTTAACCACGCTGCGTGAAGAACCTGTATCATCCAAGAAAAGCGGTGATGTTTGTCGTAGCCACAGAGAAGGCTATTAAAAAGTGTCACTTTGTAATTATTTTTCGCCCAAAAAAAATATTTAAAATCTTCCTGAATATAGACATTTTCTCCACTGAACATTTCCCAAACATCTTAATTCATTCCTCTGACTTGTCATGAGTGTGTTTATTTTTACTATTTTTTTTAAACAGATAAAGTAATGAGTTTCAAATATATGAAACGTTTTGACTTTGTCTTTTACCTTTGTGAGGGGACCATGTTAATTTGTTTTCTGTGTCATTTAATTTTTTAAAAAACAGTTTGAAGCCGGGCAGTGGTGGCTCACGCCTTTAATCCCAGCACTTGGGAGGCAGAGGCACGCGGATTTCTGAGTTCAAGGCCAGCCTGGTCTACAGAGTGAGTTCCAGGACAGCCAGGGCTATACAGAGAAACCCTGTCTCGAAAAAACAAAACAACAACAACAACAAAAACCCAAAAAAAAAAAAAACAGTTTGAGAATAACTTCTTTTATACAAGTGAGTGCTTTGTCTGCACGTGCAAATACATCATTTGTGTGCCTGATGCCAACTGAGTTCTAACCCTACAACTTGAGTTACCGATGGTCGTGAGCTACCCTGTGAGTACTGGGAACTGAACCTGAGTCTTCTCGGGGGCAATAAGTGCCCTTAAAGGCTGAGCCATCTCTCCAGTCCCTATATTGTTTCAATTTCAACATATGTGCTGCCAAACTGAATTCTTTTCACTTCATCTTTCATCAAACTGGGAGAGGCCAGCACTATAAACAAAAAGACTTCTCAGTACCTTCTTCAGATTCAAACAGGAAGATACTTACAAGCTAAAAGGAGCTACAGAAACAGTTTGCAGTTTCAAACTAACATCTGGAGAGATGACTTAGTGGTGAAGAGATCCTGAGTTCAATTCCCAGGAACCCCATGGTGGCTCATAACCATGTGGGATCTGATGCCCTCTTCTGGAATACAGGTGTACATGTTCTAGCTCTACAGACAGAGCACTCATATACATAAAATAAATACATCTTAAAAAAAATAGTTAAGTTAGGTAAATTTTGGAGTCAGTGCATAGCACATTGCTATGACAAAATACTGACAGAAGAATAGACTTCTACTGATTTGGATTGGAGACTCCAGTAGGTTCAAGTACAGCTACAGAGTTAGTTATTAGAGTCCTACTCCCAAAGCACTCTGCTCTGGCTCTGAGAAATGCCTTTAGGCTTCTGGTATCTGATACTTCCAAACTGATATCTGTAGTCAGACTTGTCTCCAAGCCTCACCTGTCTTCCTCCTACTTCCTGCTCTTCTCCATCTGACTGTCTAAAAGACACCTCTTCTTTGACATGACTCAGAGACATCACCTTCTACCTAAATCTGTTCTTCTTTTCTTTCTCTAAGTACTGAGCATTACCACCCATTAATCACCCAAGCCACAGGTTTAGGAGTCATTTCTATCTTCCTCCCAAGAACAATCCTCTGTTGAAGGATATTTGGTCACACTGTGAACCCCAAGATTGTGTTGATTACTGGAAAAAATCTTTTTCTAGTTGTGGTGTGGCTCACCACCAGCACACATCTTTAATCTCTATGCCCAGAATACAGACACACCCTTAGTACACACCTTTAATCCCAAACAATAAAGGTAGAGTTAGTTTGTAGAAGGAAGCACCTGTGTTTGAAAGTGATGTCTAATTGAGTAGTAAGCAAAGTTATGACTCAGAGAAAGATTTGACAGAATAGGATATGTCCAACTTTCAGGAAAAGAGAGAGGAAAGGGAAGGTACTTAAGAGAGAACAGCTCAGAAAGACAGTGAAAGAGAAAGTTTTACTGGAAGAGTTTTAAAGAGAGAACAAGCTAGACACAGATGAAAACAAAATGAACCAGAGAAGGAGGAGCCAGTAGATTAGAACATATTGCCAAAGTTAGCATAAGGCCAAGCAGAGCAATTTAGGAGAGGCCAAGAGAGAGAAGCCAGACTGAATAAGTCATCTTGGGGAGGAGTTTGAGCCAGAACAGCTGAGTTGAACCAGCTCAGCCAGAGTTCAGAAAGAACTAAAAGAGTGTGCTTACTAAGTATTAAGTCTCAAAGGCTTAAAACATTCGAGGCCTAGATTAGATTGTACGGAGGCTAGAAGCTTCCTGGACTAGGCCTAGGTTAGCACATGGAGGCAGTAAAACTCAGAAATGACAATTGCATCAGGTAAATAAAAGTTACTTTAACAATCCATCCTCCAAGGTTTCCAATTCTGCTTTCTAAATATCCTCATTTCTCTCTAGTCACTGTTTTGGTTCAGGCCAACACTATCCAGGGTATGATAAGTCAAAAATAACCGTAAATTCATCATTGATTCTTCCATTAGGGCTGGCATTATACATTTTTCATGTGAATGTAGCAGAAGTAACATTGTGGGGCTTCTGGATTTAAGCCTCAAAGGGTCTTGGTTTCTCCCTTTATCTTTTTGAACCACTGCTGTCACAGCCAGCTCACCTGAAAGGCACAGCACCCACAATAGTTAGCTCCAAATATCAAGCATGAGTGAGACTCTCCAGCCCTCAGTAAGCTGTCACATGGTGGAAACCACAAGGAAAATTATCAGAAAAGTGATCCAGGTGAGACAACCCAGTTTGCCAAACTTCTAAGTTAGGAGCACATAAGGAC